TCTAATAAGACAGAGGAGAGAAGGAGCACATTCAAAGATAGGTTATTCAAAATTATCACCTCCAAAGAGGAAAGAGAAGAAATAATGACAAAAAGGACAGAAACTGCTATAGATTTGGGGGATAGTATCATATGGAACAATATACAAACTATGGGAGTTTCATAAGCGGGAGACATAGGACTGGAAATGACAGGAAGAAATCACATTGCAGAAACAATGTCCAAATGTCCTAAATTTGAGCAAGAACTAGATATTCAAACTCAAGAAGCTTCACTAGTTCAAAGGAAAGTACCCAAGGATGCACACAAAGAAATATAAATAAATTATCAAAAGTCAGAGACAAAGGAACAATCTTGAAAGTACAAGAAAAAAGAGACTTCTCATATGCAAAGGAAAGTACATAAAACTATGTGCATTTCTCAGCAGAACCCCTGCCTGCTAAAAGGCAGTGGGACGATACCTTCAAAGCGTTTATAGAATAAAAACTTGTCAAGCAACAATACAATATTTAGTGAAACCCTCCTGCAAAAATAAAAGAGAAATTTAGACTTTCCCAGAGAAAGAGCTGAGAGAGTTTGTTAGTACTATCGACGTGGAATAGAAATGGAAACATGAGTCCTTCACTATCAAAAGGATCCTACACAGTAACTCTAACCCTCAAGAAAATATAAAGTTCTCCATTAAAGGTTAATAAATGATCAAATATACAAATTGGTAGTATGGTGCTTTTCACTTGTAATGACATTAAATTCTTTCCTAGCATTTGAAAGACAAAATTATTAATTAGGCACTATACATGTAATACTATATTTTATAAATAGTAACACAAGATACACAGAAGTAATTTCTGACAGCAATAACATGAAGTGAGAGAGTTGTAAGGAAGTGTTTTTTGTGTATAACTGATGTTACCCTGTTTGTTACATTTTACATTACCTCGTTACATTTTAAAATAGAATGTTATAAATTTACAATGTTGTAACTGTAATGGTAACTACAAAAAGAAATCTATG